GTCTTCTTCTTCGTCGGGACTCTCTTGCAGGTGCGCGGCGGCGTCTTCAACCTCAGGTCCGCTATGGCGGACTATCTCCTTCGGCTGCCACCTCGGCCATGGCGCATCAGGCCCTGCATACGACGGCGCGCATGGAGTAGCGGGTACCAGCTCCGATACCAATGCAATCAGACTCGTTCTCAAACACACTTTTCATGCATGTATACAGCAACGCAGCATACTGGCGACATGCGCCCACTCCAAACTCAGAGATATGGCTTTCAGACACGAGTTCACTCTCAAATGGCTATGGCGACTTCAGCGCCCAAACATCTCACTGTTCACATACACTGGATCACCCTGGATACCCCACACGCATCCCTCTAACACTGGAACACACACACACACACTCACTACTAACTACAGCTATGGCAGCTATCGCTGCATCTAACCTATCGCTATGCTAACTCCCTCTCTCTTGCCCACTGCGTCCTCCGGGCTCATCTGCAGACCTCCTTGCACAAGTCGTTGTGGCAGCGCTTCCGCATGGCTCACGCAGGAATGAATGAATGGCTGGGCACTGCCTCTTGATGTATACTTCAGAAACTCGTTGGTCTGCCCTTTGCCATCGGCCCTTGGTGCTCACAGTCCCCCTGTGGTACTTGCTGGACCGGACTGGGACTGACTGGACCTTCCGCTGACTGACTGTGGACTCACCGCTATCCTACTGACGTTGTACTGCTGTTGCACTGCGGTTAAGTCCACCACTTGCCTCACCACTTGACCACTTGCCTACCTTCTAGAAGGTCTACAGCTAAGTTTCCGGAACTCACTAAGACTCCTACGCTATAGACCTACAGATCGAACCCCTGCTGCCTATGGACCTACGACAGGCCTACCAACTGCCTACGAATGCACAGGTCACAGGTTCAATTCTCGGGGTCTACACAGATACTGTACATGGGTAGGGTGAGGTCTAGGGATCGAACCCTGGGTACTGCATCCGCTACTGCTAAAAGGTGAAAACTGTTTCACTTCAAAAATTCTGATTGATTGATTACTGATTGATTGATTGATTGATGCAGTTCTGATTCATGAGACACAAGATAATTGATAAATCAGTTAATGCAAGTTGATTGATTAGGTTGATTAGGATTGTTTCTACTATCAGATCTACAGTTGTCATCAATTTCGACGTTGCAAATTTTTTTGTTTTCTTCTGTTTCTGTAATTCGGTTAATGCGTTAAAGATAGAGCTGTTGCGATCTGGAAACTCCCGTTATTTTAGAGTTGACACCAAGAATTTTGCAAAATTCGCAGAATTTTAGGTCGAAAAATCCTGAAAATTTTGCTTGTTTTTTTTTTTCTTTTCTTTTTCAGTTCACATTGTCTTTAAGTGCTTACCTCCATGAATTTCGTACGGGATTTCTTTTCGTGAATTCCATGATGATGGAAGGTTCGGACAGTTGCAGAATTGCAACTTCCCGGAAGTTTCACCTGGACTCAAAGTCCAAGTTGACATTTTGATCAATGATCGCAGGCAGTGAACTTTCAAACCATTGTTTGATCTCGGATTGACTCCTAATTCCAGACATATTCATTAATTTCATTATTTTTATAAATTAAATTAATAAATTTTTGATGTTTCAAAAAATATTGTCCAGGGGGGAAAAAAAAATTCCTGTTGATTGGTGTGTCAGCCCACATTGGGGATTAGGGAGCTGCATGCTTGGCTGTTCCGTATCCCCTGTTCCCACCCCTTGTTCTCCTCTCCCTCTGATGGCATAAAGACACTGCCGATAGCAGTCACTACAGTTTCCATGCAACAGCTCATGTCAGCAGGTCAACAACCTGTGGTACTTCCTCGACGCAGTCCTCAGATAGCAGCTCTTTTCAGCCGACAGCAACAGGCCGCAACACGCATCCCGACACCGACGGTAAGGAGCCGGCAAACGATGGTCCGGCCAGAGTTTCCGGTCCCAAGGTGCCGATGAGGTGTCCGACGTGTTCTTGCAGCGCGTTCAGGCGTTCATGGACCTGGTCGCTGCTGAGCAGAAGCGGATTGCCGCTGCAGCCACTGAACAGCACAGACTGGCTGAAGAGGCAGCAACTGATCAACTGAGGCTGTCACCGAGGCACAACGTTTGGACAACGAGGCAGCCGTCCAGGCACCGCGACAGCGAGAAGCCACCGAAGCAGCACAATAGCAACAGTGTGCCGCAAGCACATAGGTCTTGCAAAATGAGGAGCAGTGTTTCAACGAACTCCTCACGATGTGGACTTTCGTGCCATCAGCCTCGCGATCAGCGCCAACAGCAGTGGAACAGATGAAACAGAAATGGTTTACCTACACGTACACGTTTTACACATGTGAACTGGCAGCAAGAGCAGTTGCGGCGGCAGGTTCAGGCAACATACTAGCAGCAACAGCTCCTAACGTTATTTTGAATTACCACAAGACATTCGCGATAGCGATCAATTCTGCCAAGACACAGCAAAAGCAAGTCAACAACTCACTTATTTTGCGCCTGAATACGGTTGAAGCGCAGGCCCGTGCACCAGCAGCTGCACCGATCGGTTCATCAGTAGCTGGCGAGCAATAGGGCCCGCGTGGAACAGCGATTGAAAGTACAACCGCGACCACCACTCAGCGCATTGATCACATCATCAGCCTGATTAGCGAGGTGGGCAAGTTTGAGGCCCCAACGCCGCTAAAAAACCAAGTGACGACACTAAAAACCGAGGTAGGTCAGCTAAAGTCAAGACCGGACAGAGGCAAGGCGTACGAGATGCCGAAGTTCAACATAGCCAAATTTGACGAGTATCACAAGATTGACACATTGGCATGGTGGACCGCATTCAATATGGAGGCGGTTGCGCATCACGTTCCCGACGATCATGGCCTCAATGCGCTGTACCTCCAACTGATTGGCGGCAGCCAGACCTTCATGAACAATTTGGCATTGCAAAAGGCATGTACGATCGCAACACCGCACACCAAGATTACATGAGCAGAGTTTGATCAGCTGTGGCAGACATGGTTCATGGTCCAAAATGTGAAGAACTCGGTCATGAACGAGCTCTACCATTGCAGCCAAGGCACTATGCCTACCCGAGAATGGTTGACGAAGTGGCGGAAGTTTGTTGCCATTCTGAAATTCAGCCTCGATCTCGAGGATTTGAGATCTGAGTTCTTCTCTTGGTCATGCGACGGTTGACCACGACTCTCGGCAACGAGTTGCAAGACAAGACCTTCTAAGCAGTCATATCAAGAGCTAAATACAAACGGCGACCAATTGAAGTCGCCAGTAGCAGCCGGCCTATGTGGCAAAGCCAGAATTTCAGCAATGCAATGCCAATGTGATCCTAACCGAATCACAAGAAGACCACGCTGCTGCGGCAGCCTCTGGTGCAGGAGATGTTGTGGTAGCGATCCCTCCTCGACGCATACGAGCTCGAAAGAAGAGGGCGAATACCCAGGCGTCGGAAGGAGCTGAACAGCAGCCGTGAACGTAGTATCACATTAGCGGGAGGTCTACCACCTCCGCCTTAAGTGCAACTCTTGTCTTTGGTGCAACAGCATCAAGCACGCGACCGCCCAATGCACGGACAAGGGCAAAGCTAGTGTGCCTCGTCCACACAGCTCAGGAAACTAAGCACCGGCAAGGAGTGCAACGACGACTCTCCCCACTCCGCCGGAAACAGTTGCCTTGCTAGGAACCGACTTCATCTTCGAGGAACATATGGTAGTCAATGATTCTCGTTTGACATATGAGGATTATGCAGTCCAGCTGGTCCCACCGTTGAGCCAGCCTAGTCACGTGCATAAAGCCAACGTATGTGCAGCTTGCGCACCGTCAACAAGTGAGCCGGTCTTTTCGCCTACACACTTTAAGGACTCGTCGGCGTGGTCGAGACTTCCAATGGTTGCCTCTTTCCTCGATCGGATCCTTGCCCAAGCTGCATGGCAATGCCTTAATGGCCAACCTACACGCTTTCTTGCATGCTGCAGTACCAGCTCCGTTGACGGAAGACGGAGTAGCGGTTGTCGATATTCGCGCCTATCTTGCTAAGATCAACCGCGAGCACGCATCCCAAAGGTACGTCGACCACAACGCACCCCTCTGCTATATCCGCATTCAGATAGGAAAGGCAACCTGCAATGCCTTGATTGATTGCGGAGCGTCTCGAAAATATATGAGCCAAACTTTTATGGCCCGCACTGGCCTTGGCCCCCACGTTTGAAGGAAAATGCAGCCAACACACTAACACTCACGGACGGACACATGCAAAAATCGATTGATTGATGCGTTGACGGCGTCCTGGTTTACTTTGCCCCACTTGCGTACAAGTCGGTGTCTTTTGACATCCTCAATACCAAGTTCGACATGATTTTAGGCATGTCTTGGTTGCGTAGCGCCGACCACCCGGTGAACTTTATCACCTCACCGTTCACGTCCGTGATCGGAACATTGAGCTAGTCCCGTGTACGGTCCCGCCTCCTCACACTTCGATTGGTGGCCACGTGGTCTCCTCAGCGAGGACTCGCGATGCTATTACTCGGAACAACGTCGATGAGCTCGGAATATGTTTTTCGCATGTGATCCCTCCGACGGACGGACCGAAGACATCACCACCGGACCCACGTATCCTTCAACTCTTAGATGGTTATGGAGACGTCTTTGCAGCTCCCGCTGGAACGGTCTCGGATTGGCCCATACATCACGGGATAAGCCTCGAGGACGGTGTCGTCCCTCCGCGAGGATGTATTTACTGGATGAGTGAAGAGGAACTCGAGGTGCTTCGCGGACAACTTGATGACCTCTTAGATAAGGGTTGGATTCACCTGAGTTGTTTGCCCTACGGTGCCCCGGTTCTCTTAATCCGAAAGAAGAACAAGGACCTCTGGTTGTGCATAGATTATCAAAAACATAACGCACAAACCGTGAAGAACGGCGGCCCTCTCCCTCGGATCGATGATCTCTTTGAGAGATTGGGCGGTGCCACATACTTTTCAAAGTTGGACTTGAAGACTGGCTACCGCCAGATTGAAATCCAGCCCCAAGATCGGTACAAGACCGCCTTCAAAACACGGTATGGGCATTGTGAGTGGGTCGTAATGCCATTCGACCTCACCAATGCCCCGACAACCTTCCAGGCAGCTCTGGGGACCGAGTTTCGAGACCTACTCGACCGCACCGTACTCATGATTTACCTCGATGACATCTTGGTTTATAGTCGGACGTTCAACAAGCATCTCGAACACCTTCGCGTTGTTCTAGAAAAGCTTTGCACGACCAAGTATAAAGCAAATCACGAATTCGCACAGCAAGAGCTGGAGTACTTGGACCATTATGTTACGCCGCAAGGCGTTCGTCCCTTAGCGGACAAGATCCAAGCCATTGTGGACTGACCAGAACCCCGTACCACAACGAAGATATACTCGTTCATGGGTCTGGCTGGATATTACCAACGTTTTGTCGACTCTTACTCCAAAGTTACTGCACCATTGTCGAGGCTTCAGTCTCCGAAGGTGCCCTTCGAGTTCGACGACACAACCCGTAATACATTCCAGGCATTGAAGGATGCCATGCTACACACTCCCGCCCTTCACATTTATGATCCCACCCTACGTACCCGAGTGACTACGAACGCTTCCGGATACGACATTCGTGCGATATTGGAACAGCACGACGGTGATGATTGACACCAGGTCGAGTACTTCTCCCAAAAAGTGTCTCTGGTCCATTCTCTATATGACGCTAGGAAAAAAAAGTTGCTGGTTTTCATCACTTTTCTCAAACGATGGCAACACTTTCTTTTCGGACGTCGACGTTTTACGTGGAATACGAACAATAATCCATTGACCTACTATAAAACGCAGGACACGGTCACAAGCACGATCGGCGATGGATGTATTTCATTGACCAATTCCACTTCAATTTCGTCCATATTCTAGGCACCGCCAATCAAGCAGCGGATGCACCCACCGACAGGTCATTATCACATCTCCAACGGGTATTTGCTTATGCATACGTGAGGGAAGGACTTGTTATGCTTGCCACGCGATCACATCTTGCGTACTCGCCTTCTGAGCGAATTCCACGACTCGCGACTATCGATACACCTTGGCATCACCTGTACTTTGGCACGCCTTCGCCAGCGTTTTCACTGGGAAGATGTCCTTCACAATGCCAATAAATACATGCAGTCATGTTCAGTTTGTCAGCGCAACAAAGGACGACATCAGCTCCCTCACGACAAACTCGAACCATTGTCGATTCCTCAAGAACTGTGCCTCTCCATTGCTATGGACGTTACAGACCCGTTTCTCTGCGATCGCCTTGGTCATGATGACATCATCATGGTCATTGACCGTTTGAGCAAGTACGCCAAATTTCTTCCCTGCAAGTATCATGCTGCAGCACCCGAGCTCGCACGACTCTTGCACACCGACTCGATTTGCAACCATGGTGTTCCGGAAGACATCGTAAGCGAGCGTGATACTCGTTTCATGTCGACGTTTTGGACATCCCTTATGGTTGAGTCCGGTACGACAATGAAGCCGAGTTCCACTCGGCACCCACAAACAGATGGACAGACTAAGCGGGCACATCAAACCGCTCAGATGATGCTCTGTACTCTTATCCGTCCGGACCAGAAAGATTGGGTTGACCGCCTTCCGGATATCGAGTTCGCCTACAACACTTCGGTGCACCCGGCGAGCTGTGTGACTCAGTATGAGTTGCATCACGGTTGACTGAAGGGTCGTATTTTCGGTGATCTTCTTCTCCCTCGGGCTGCCAACATAGATGTCGCTTGCTTTCCCGCTTCCACTCAGAAGTACAGGGAGTTGCTGATCAAAGCCCGAGCAAATATGCAAAAAGCTCAAGTCTGCATGCAACAACAAGCTAACCGACGTCGTATCCCATGTCCTTTCTATGAGGGTGAACTTGTCTGGGTCCTCGCTGAGGAATTCGCGCTTGAGCAGGATGTTTCTCGCAAACTCCTCCCCAAATGGTTCGGACCATGGAAGGTAATTTCTGCAGTCGACGATGACCCTGCCGGGCCCTTCCTTTGTGATAAACATCCCACCGCACCTCACCGTGCACCCGGTCTTTCATGGATTGAAGTTGGCTGTTCACACACCACCTTCGGCCGACGAGTTTCCAGGCAAGCGATCACAGGATTCACCCTCCATGGACAGACATCAGGAAGTTGACCGTGTCATCACGCACCGCAAACATGGCAACAAGCCAATGCAGTATCAAGTCACAGTCAAACAATGTGATGTTGACGACACTCGCCAGATCTCCCGAGCAGATTTACAGGCATCTGCACCACTCATCTTCTCTGACTATGAAAGACATGGCTTGCCAAGGACAAAGTTCTTCCCTCCCGACCCACCCAGGTTTCGGATAGACAACTTCGCCCTCACAGGTAGCTCGGTCTTGTGTTACATAATGGATTCCACGCGGGCCCTACTAGGCCCGACGACTAGGTCTAGGGGGTTATCCAAGACGGTGGCCACGCTGGGCCAGTCCAGCCGGGGTTAAAGGCCGGACCTTTGGAAAGGCCGACCTTAGGCCTCCAGCAACCGGACTCAGACATGGGTCTGTAACTGCAGGCCCTAAGCGGGAAACCGGCTCAAACATTTTCCGTTTGAGCCTGGCGGCCGAAGACTGAGGCTGTCGCTTCCCCGCGGGTCCGATCTGAACCGTCAGATCTCTCTACGGTCCAGATCACGACACGGGTTCTCAACAGCCAGGCCGAACAAGCCACCACCGGTACTCAGTACCGGCCAGCGGTCTGTTCGAGACACTTTGAGGCTGCAACATTGAGGAGCAGCAGCGCTGCGCTATTTTGGGTTTAGAGCAGCTCCAGGCAGAGCGCTAGGTGTAGCGCTAGCTGCAGAGGAGAGAGAGAGAGGAGTGAGTAGAGTCCTACCTGCTACCTACCTGTGAGCGCCATAGCTCCAGTGTCGAGGGCGAGTCTTCAACAGCTCCAAGGCACCACGTTGCGTCAGCAGGTTGGTGTCTGGACACTCGATAAGGGAGTGAGGACTCTCCTCCTCCCACCTCTCCATCTCCACCTTCTCCTATGCCCCTCTATGTTCTTCTTCTTCTTCTTGTTCATCATTATCATGACCTCCTTCTAACGTTCTATATTCTGGACTACTATCTGGGCAGAGATCAGAGGTGGACTATGGGTGACATAAGGACTGCGACTATTTTGCATTGAGACATTAAGTGGACTTTGTCGGAAATCTGACATCAGTGGCATTACGAGATTCTGTATCTTCAACATTTCGAGACTTTGTATCTTCGTCATGTTGGGATTTCTATTTCGGTTATATTGGTGTTCAGCATCATCTCTCCTCCTTTCTTCGTCTTTTCTCCCTACATTTCGTGTGTGCATGATTGTGCAGGCCTTGGCATTGTCTTCCATGCTTGAAGCGCCAGGCCTCCCACCCGAGGAATGTATGGTGTGAGTCTCTACATAGTCCGAGTCAGGTGTGAGTCAGATTTATATTTACTTGTCTTCCTCCGCATTATATTGCTCTTTGTTATTGGTCGGTTCTGGGTTCTGCATCATACTTGTGTTCACTTCACTAGTATGCAACAACGGTCGGGCCGTCCGAGAAAATAGGGTGACCCGGGCGGCCCAACTGGTAGGCTAGATTAATTAACTCTAAAGTATTTTCGAATTACAAAAATTTCAAAAAAGAGTTAATTAAAAGTATTTATTAATTTCAAAAAAGAAAGTTAAAAAAAAAATGAATTAATTCGAAAGTATTTTCCAGTTACAAAAAATTAAAAAATGAAAAATTAAATTAATTAATTCAAAACTTCAATCAAAAGTATTTTCAAATTTCGAAAAAGGATTAATTTATTTTGCGAGGATTTGGCTCCTCGGCAGGCCTAAGGGGAACCTTATGCAAGTGTGCCCGCCCTAAGTGAAGGCGGGCCTAACAAATCACGAGAGGCCCAATGCTGTCAATTTCGTATTTGGGGTTCAGGCAATTTTGTCGCGTCAGCTGGTTGAGGGAACCCAGGTCGCGAGCAGCAAATACTTTCCACGACCTTCTGGGCCTTTTTTG